CCTCCGGGGCTGGCAAACTGGTGCCAGACTTGTCTAGAAGCATAGGAGCACTGGCTCGATACATCGGTAGACCACCGCGACTTATTGTAAAGACAAGATATGCATTCAGTCAACTCCAAAGGATGCTTAATGAAGTAGAATGCATGGTGCATCTCTCAGGGATTGCCAAGGAGAGATCAACGCTATCCTTTCTTTTATATTTAATGCCTATGATTTCTGTTTAGAGAGAAACTTTCCGGCTCACATTCTGGATAGCTCCCAGCAAATCTGTCGCAGTTGTTGCGAGGACGTGAATGTTTTCACTGTAACCGGGTCGAGCAGAGGGCGGTGCTGGTTGTCTGTCGCATAGCCTAACATGATTAAGCGCTACTTGCTCGGCCTGGCAGTCGTACTCCTGAAATACCGAAGGCAGCATCAAACACTAAGAAAAAGAACCGTAATAGAAAAAGTGCAATACTCTACCATCAAATCCATTCTTGCAGCCGGTGGTGCATTTTCACCTGCATGTTCAGCGTTTCTGGCAAGACCTCTCGCAACAAGCGATCTAAAGAGGAGCGTTTTCTAATTTTTCTTTCACAAAAGCACATTATTCCGCCCCCACTCGTCTTTCAACCGTAAAAAATCGATGCATTTCAAATCTCCCACATGCATAAGTTTCCGTTATGCACGTTCAGCTTATGTAACAGTTCGAATGTGGAACGTTTGGCAGCATAGATAAAGCAAATATATTTTTCTTTCTAATGGTTTACCTAAAATTGTTATGCATTCCTAGCGCCACTTCTCTGAAGGTGGAAGGAAATGCTGTGCTTGCGCAGTCAGTACTTCTTCTTCTAGTTGTTGTAGTTGTTGTGGTTGTGGTTGTTGTTGTCGATGTTGTTGTCGGTGGTGCTGTCGTGGATGGTCTAACGGCGTTAACACATAGTCCATTTTCACAGAAAGCAGGATTGAATCTATTGCATTGTTGGTCATTTTCACATGGCATTCCAGACGTGTAGACTAGAGTTCCTCGTCCGACATTGCTGAAGCAGCATTAACGTTTTTCTAGACGTTAATGTTTTGTTCTCGATCACTCACGGTGCCGAAAAGACGCATGCTGCAGCTGAACTTCCCATGCACATGGCACCAGAGCATCCAACAGAAACGGTCCTCGCACGAATCATCTGGAAAAAAAAACTGCGGATGATCGTTTCAAGGCGCAATACTAATTTGACATACGTTAGCAAAAGGACGCAATGCTTCATTGCCATCAAAAACATTGTTTGCTGGCCATAACAAGTTCGAAATTTCTGACCAGTCCAGTAAAGCAGCTTGAATTGGGAATTGGCGCTCGAATGCAGAAGACGCCGGTCCGTATCTGAAATTTTAAAATTCACAACAGCAATTGTAAAGGCGCAGTGACCTTTTGACAATTATGGTAAAAGCATTATCCTCAGTGACTTACAAACGATAATTCCTCCCGTTTGGGCCCCCTAATGGCGGTGGGTTCTGAGGGCAGTTGTTGACAGCTGTCTGAGCTAATCTTTCCAGATTACAGCTCCATGTCTGGAATTTTCAACACTCAACTGCTGCCTTTTATGCTCGTTGATAGTGAACGTTAAACAAGAATTTGAACCTTCTTTTTCTTTCTTTGCACAACGAGGGCACGTGCAGAATAATGGTTAAAGATGCCTTGTAATGGGTCTTTGGGTTTGGGTTTTTTTGTTTTTGTCCACTGGGTTTTTGCTTCGATCCAATGTCTCGGCTCATGAAAACTCTTATCCCTTCTGGGTTGAAAAATTACTACGAAGAGTGGTCTGTTAAGGTGGAGAAGTGCGATATAATACATCGGCAAGCCATCAGAAGTCACTCTAAAGGCCATTCATGCATGCAATCATCTCATGCGGTACTGGATAAAGTCGAACGCAAGCCGCATCCCTCAAGATCTGATCAACACCCAAAGCTTTATCGCTTATTGTTTATTGCCGAGCAGCCAAGGCATTTGAGTTGTATAGAAACTAATTTCGATGATGAAGAGAAATCAAAGATTTTACCAGTTTGCGCATGTCACTTGCCGACGACAGGAAGTTTTGTGCTTGAAATTGTCCTAACGCAACACTTGAGCCTATTCGGTTAAGCAGATTGAGAGCACCAGTCCTATTCTGATCACTTAGGATCAATCCTTGACATCCGAAAGCTTAAACAGAGGTTGGCTAACAGGCTTTTCCTTCAATTATGTCAATGTATAATTATAGGAGAACATTAGATAAACTCACGAGCTTCAAATCGACCACCGGATAGGACATTACGTAGAAGCTGCAACGAAAAACCAGTTAAATATGGTTTTAAATGTAGAAAGTAAGCAAAACCGCGACTTCACCAACCGCGCTAAAGAGAACCAGGAATGATGCTCGGAACATAGGTCTGTAGTGCTCAACTACTGTTTTCCTTCCTTATAAACACTCCTAAGTGTGCACTATTTTCCAATTAGTGAAATTCTTTTTCAGTTGTTGAACGCGAATTCAAAGAAACTGTTTATCGCGGCTGTCTGGTTCGTTAGTTTATTATTTGAAGTTTGATGCATTAGAGCAATACTTCGCGCTGCGGTCACCTCGTCACTGCTTCAACAGACAATGTATCAGATTCCTGAACGTTAATTAGGTTTCAATACCAATCCAGCAAAATCTAACAGGAAATACACTTTTTCCTAGCCCTCAAACTGCAGCAATATTAGGTCACTTGAAATAATGCCTTCAAGCACGGTAATCGGATTGCTTTGCTTCATGAGCTCAAGCAAAAGAAAATGCAGTACTGATAACAACTCGTGATGTCACGAAGACACGGCTCACGGAAATGTGTCCGAGCAGCCTGCGGGTGGTTCGTCGAAAAGATTACCATTAAAGTAGGAAGTCCTAATAGAGATGGCTTATTTTGCTGTCCAAGAGGATATCGCTATTGCTCTTGTCTGGTTCTGTACTGAGCAGTTTTTGTAGGATTTAATCGCTTTTGTTCTACTAAATCTACGTTGCAACTTGCTATCGTTTCGGCGAGATCCAGGATCTTTTGTTACATGACTTTAGAACTTTACAAACTAAATAAAAATGTACTTTCACTTAGATTAAGCTTTCAAAAGTGTTCGGAAGTCCATTTTTTGTCCATTAAAGGGAACGTCGTTCATTACTATCGATTATCTACTTTTCATCACAGCGCGCTATCGAAGATCTTCTTTGTTGTTTGATGTGAAGAATTTCACAGACCTCTTGACGACGATCTTATAGCCATTAGCTCAATTTCTGCCGTTCTCATTTGTCGGAATGTTTACGTGTCCAAGTGCCTTAATGCAAAAATTATTTCGCGACGAACACGGACTCTCAGTCTCAACGGTGGTTTTCGAAGCTTCGAAGAAGAAATCAGCTTCGATTATTGTTCCTGATTCGGCGACGTAAACTGCTTATACGTATCTCTTCTATCCTTCATAATGCTTTTTGAAAGCGCTTTCTTAGATCATGCTAATGTTTCGAGTTGCCACCTTTGCTCAATATCCTTGCGTTTGAACTCGTGAAGCAAAACAATCCGATTTTCATGCTTTCGCAGTGCATGTTTATCAGGTGAAAGCATTGTAACCTAAGGGTCAGAAAAGATTCAGATTTTTCTTAATGAGACACAGCAGTTCCAGTTTTGCAATAGGAAATCCGCCTCATTTGTTAAGCTCACAAAACCATTTTTCTTCTATTTTTTCTCGCTTCGAAGCTCGTGTTTAAGGGCAAAGTAGGCTGAAGAAGCGTGATCCCATCCAAAAAGGACACGATGGAAGATGCCAATTTATCATGGGTATTTGCGAAGACCGTGAAGCCATCGGAATTTTAAAGTGTTAAATCCCTTCTTTAATTACCTAACCTTTCTTAAGCATCTTTAAAGTTGACCAAATACTTTTTTAGAATTATGGATTTTCGGAGTATCTTATTCAGCCTTTTAGCACTGAGAGCAGAATAATGAAATCACGTTACTGCACTCATGCAAGAGATTTTAGAAACGCATTTTTGAACCACTGCCTATCGATTTTCCTGTTTCCTGTTATACTCGATGGCGTAGATGTTGTAACACAACTAATACAATATGTTATTCAGAATTGTGGGAAAATCGTCCATTGTGAGCCATGAAGAAATGAAAAGAGCTTTAGGTAACAACCTAATGCATCAAACGCCACAAGTGTAATTGAACATGTCGAAAACAGTTTCTTTGAATTTTAGTTCAACACCTGTGAAAATGAATTTCACTAGTTGGAAAATAGTGCACACCTGGCAGTGTTTACAGGATAGGATAGCAGCACTGAAGCACTATGTTCCAAGCATCATTCCTGGTTCTCTTCAGCGCGGTTGGTGAAATGCTTACATTCTACATTTAAAACCATATTTAACTGGTTTTTCGTTGCAGCTTCTACGTAATGTCCTATCCGGTGGTCGATTTGAAGCTCATGAGTTTATCTAATGTTCTCCTATAATTATACATTGATATAATTGAAGGAAAAGCCTGTTAGCCAACCTCTGTTTAAGCTTTCGGATGTCAAGGATTGATGCTAAGTGATCAGAATAGGACTGGTGCTCTTAATTGGCTTAACCGAATAGGCTCAAGTGTTGCATTAGGACAATTTCAAGCACAAAACTTTTTGTCGTCGGCAAGTGACATGCGCAAACTGGTAAAATCTTTGATTTCTCTTCATCATCAAAATTGGTTTCCATACAGCTCAAATGCCTTGGTTACTGTACAATAAACGATAAGCGGTAAAGCTTTGGGTGTTGATAAGATCTTGAGAGATGCGGCTTGCGTTCGACTTCAACCGGTAACGCATGAAATGATTGCATGTATGTACGGCCTGT